TCTAAATGTGTACTGCGTTCCTGCATGCGTGGGTGGGTTTTGGGTGCGGGTGTGCCTGCCCTCGCGCACGTATGGACTGAAACACGACACACACCGAATGGAAGCAAACCGGGACCCGGGTATGGATGCATCCCATCATACCCTCATCCCATCATCACATCAAACCCTCGTACCTTCATCACATCATTCCATCATTCCATCACCACATCATGCCCATCCCATCATCCCATCATGACACAATCACATGTTCCCCTCATCCCATCCTTTCCCATCATGACACCATCGCGTCCTGGATCACGCACACACACGACAATGGCAAGACCGTATTTTCTGCGAGGGCGAAGAAACTGGAGTACAGCACGGGGGAGACCTTCTGGATAGCGGTACAGTACCCACCAAGTCGTACGCATGTACCTAAGCGATATCCGTCGTTGGCCCTCGCTTGCGTCTGTTGCTCCCAGGGCTGTCGTCGGTGATATCATAGTGACGGTGGTTAAGCTGTTTTTTTCCGTTTTGGTCTGTTTCTCGAAACTCGTTTGCTGTTGTGGGCCAAGTCAAACCCGGATGCCTGTTCCGGCTGGGTGGCGTTGCTGGTGTCTGTTTCCGTTGACGGTTGCGGTGTTTCGGACTAACTCAGGTGAACTAAAGGCCCGATCGCCCTCAGGCACCCCTACCGTGCCTTCGTAAATGTGACCTTGGGTTTGTTCGAGATGTCCACTTCTTCCCCCCTTCCTTTTTTCCTTGGTACAGCAACGTCACGTGGACGTCCACTCTCGACTCCGAACCTTCACTGAGTTGCGTGACGTCACGTAGAAGCACAACGAAGGAGACGCGTTGCTTCGTACGCATGCGTACTGTAGGCGTTGAAAGGTTGGGAAAACAGCTGTAGTTCTCTTATAGTCGGCTTGCTTCACCATGGCACGTTGCAGGTAAGTCAGCTGCAACCTCCTCGGTCCGCTTGCACCAACAAGACTCAAACCTTCTTCACATGGGTTATTCAATGCACCCTTCCCTGTGTGCTGTGTGCTGTGTGCTGTTTGCTGTTTGCTGTTTATTGTGCTGAACAGGCCGATGCAGCCCCGCGCAACAGTCTGGAGAGGCTGGCGCTGGACATATTCAAGGCTCACACTGCAGGAGCGAGATTTAACCAAGAAACATCGGGCGCCGAGTGGTGGACGCAGGTTGGTCTCTTTGTCTGTTGTCTGTCTCTCTCTCTATCCCTTTCTGTGTCTGTCGCTTTCTCTCTCTCTCGGTCAGTCTCGATCCCCCATCCCCCCACTCTCTCTCTCCCTCTCTCTGTTCCTGCCTATGTTGGGTCGTGTCCATGTCGCTCTATCCTTTGTTCGTATCGTCCGAGAGGAAACGCGTCGGTTAAAGTAACAGCACTACATGCAAGAATTACGAGTGGGTTGTTCGTTAACCTGTCATCCTGTAGCATCGACGTCTCGAGGCCGAGCAATGAAATGAATGCACGGGTTAGGCTTAGGGATAGGCTTTGGGTTAGGTTTCGTAAGAGAGGCGAGAAAACCCAGACGTTTCTTTCCCGTATTGAGCGGAGTTTGCGGGTGTCGTATGTGCGTGCCTTGCCTGTTCGGGGGAAACTCCAATACATCTTCGGCCGTTGGTGTATTTGTCTCTTTGCTCCTCTGAGCATGCTCTTTCCTTTCGAACGAGCACCACGATGATACTGCTGTACCCCCCCCCCCCCCCCCCCCCCCCCCCCCCCCCCCCCCCCCCCCC